CAGTCATAACAGGGACGTATAGTAAATTGGATGGGTAACTTAACCTTAAATCCTTAAACCCTTAACAAGAGCCCAGGTGAGAACCACGCAGAAATCAAGGAAGGTGGCTAGCATGGATCCCACCTCATCGGCGAACTTGGCAGGTACACCCGTTAGGTTTATGGTTTAGGGTTTTAGGGTTTAGCTATAAGGGTTTAGGGTTTAGGGGTTAGGGTTTAAGGTTTGGGGGCTCATAGGGTTTAGGAGAACTAGCTGTAGACCAAGACCGTTCTTGTGTTTAGGGTTTACGTGTGTTCTTGCGCCTCTATCCTAGTGCAGCATCGTGTTCTGGACATACGTGAGTTGTTTGCGGCCCATTATCTTCGTAGCGGAGCAGCATGCAGCCTGCCACATAGTCAGTTTTGTTTACTGCTCAGCCTACCCTTTAACTTCCTTGCCCTGCATCGTGCTCGTCGTTTGCGGCCGCAATATGTAGACATGTGCTTCACAGCGAAACATGCCAGGCGGCAGCAGCGCATCAAGGTCAAGTCCTTGCATGCTGCATCCTAGCGGAACCTTCCGATCCTTCTGGAACTTGCTGGTGGCTGCCTTCGTAATGTACGACCTTGTTGTTACCCCCTTGCCTCTTGGTACGCTTGACAAGACTTTGTTGTTTGCCTTCCTCGCACAGTTGTGCTGATGAGTGCTCTGCCTTCGTGCATGTTTTGGGTCAACTTCTTTGGAATATGTCTCTAAACTGGAAAAAAACTCCGAAACCCTGAACCCCAAAACCCTAAATCGCTTAACCCTAAAACCCTAAATCCTAAACTCTAAAACCCTCAACCCTAAACTCTAAAGCCCTAAATCCTAAGCCCTAAAGCCCCACATCCTAAACCCTAAAACCCCAAATCCGAAACTCTAAAACCCAAAATCCTGAACTCTAAAACCCCAAATCCTAAACCCTAAATGCAAAAAAACCCTAAAGCCCCAAATCCGAAACTCTAAAACCTAAACCATCCTCGAGGCTTGTCTTTTCACTCCCGAGCTGGCTGTCCAGATATCCGGTATCGCTGGTGGTCCAACTTTTTTGGACTTCGGACTTTGCGCTCCCAGGGCTGTTGTTACGGAAAATTTCTATGACATAGAAATACATAATGTATGAGTTCATAAAGTTGCCAGAAAGGTGTCAATTATTTGTTAAGGAAAATGTGTATATATGAGTTAGTAAAGTTGTCATAAAAGGGTTCTTGTTAAGGAAAATGTGTGTGTGTGTATATATATATATATGGGAGTTTCGAAAATTAGGGATTCCGTATTATGGTGTCCTTATAATAAGGGTCCTACTATTTAGGATATTATATTGGGGTCCCCCATTTTCGGAAACTCCCAAACGAGTTAGTAAAGTTGCCATAATAGGGGCCTGCAGTAAATAACATGGCTTCTTTAAATATTATAGCAACTTGAGCTAAATCCCTTAGCAAGAACCCTAAACCCTGAAACCTAAACCCTAAGCCCCTGAACCCCTAAACCCTAGACCCTTAAACGCCTAATCCCTAAACCCCCAAACCCTAAATACCCCTTAGCAAGAACCCCTATAGATCCCTTCAAGCCCTAGGGATCTAAGGACTTATACATTAAGGCTTTTGGGCCCAAAGACCATACTATAAAAGGCTTTTGGGCTATTTTGGCCCCTAGGGAAGAAGCCCCTCGTTTTGCAAATTAAGTTTCTTAGCAAGAAGCTGCTAAACTCTAAACTCCAGAACCCTAAAGCCGAGCCCTACTTAGAGGATCATGGGACTTAGTAAGTAGGTTATAATTGGGGTTATAAGTCCCCTAAGTAGGGTTGTCCTTATTATAACCTACTTATAACCCTACTTACTAAGTCCCATGAGCCTTCAAGTAACCCCTAAACCCTCCCTTAACAAGAGCCAACCCAGGCTTACCTTCCTCACCGGCTACTACCAGAAAGGCTTTCTAATCATGGAGCGCTGGAAGGTTCATAGGGACCCTTAGGGTTTAGGGTTAGACGGGGGTTAGGGGACCTTAATGCCCGTAATAAGGCCCTAATAAGGCCTATTGAAGGAAGTATAGTCCCTTACCCCCCCCCAAGGGTCCCTATGAAAGGTGGCACGAAACTACGCTCAGAGTTGGATGTGCCCCGATTGCAGAGAAGCGGTTGTGGGTTCAGGTTTAGGGTTTAGGGACATTTAGGGTCTCGGGTTCAGGTTTGGGGTTTAGGCTCAGAGTTGGATGTGCCCCGATTGCAGAGGGGGTTTTTGTAATATTCGATCATAATATTCTATCATAGTCTGTATTTAATATTCTATAGTTAGCCTGATTGCAGAGCAGAGGGGGTTTTAGGCTTTCAGGCTAATGGTTTGGGAATTCGACCTTGGTCCTGTTTGTTGATCGACTCTCCTGTCTGTTTCTGCTGGAGATCCAATTGTAGGAGCATCTCTCTTTGGAGATTTAAGCACTGCTTCAGCAGGTTGAGAATTTGGGGTTCAGGGTGTAGGGTTTAGGGTCTCTGCCGCTTCCCAACACCCCAAGCGCCCCTCGAAAACCACATCAAAGAATTATTCAATACCTTGTTACCCATCGCAGTGCACAGAGGTTGAATCCCTCCACCCTAAACTAGACACTACAGGAACAGAGCTTTCTAGGTCTTGATACAATGTAACTCGAGTCTTAGGGTGTAGGGGGCTTACGCCCCAATTCCGAAGCCTGGATGAAGCCTTTGGGGTGGGACTTATGAAGTGCTGCTGATCCAGATTCCTGAGTAGTACCCTTTTGCAACTTTTATTTTGGGGCCTCCTTCTTGGAAGTATATTTTCGGAAAAAAAGCACCCTCAACAGAGAGAAGACGAAACGTAGTGATGGACAGCCCCAAACCCTAAACCTACTATCCGAAACCGTTGGCCCTCAACCCACTGCATTACTGTGGATGACCCGGGGAATTACCTCTACTGTAAGTTCATGGAACAGCCTTTCATCAACGGAATCTGGGGCCTCTAAACCCTAGAGTCCTGTTTGGGATTTAGGGTTTAGTTTGGAGCTTTGAGGGTATGTAGACTTTTAGGGCTCAGCGGTTAGGGTGTGGCTTCAGGCTCAGGGCTTTAGGTTGAGTGCGCAGGCTCTTTGACTTGATCCTGATCCTCATTGACTGGATGGTCGACATCCTGGATCTATTGACTGCAGACAGCACCCTAGCCACGTAATAGCTCAAGATTTTCTGACTGTCCTTAAACCCTAAACCCTAAACCCTAAACCCTAAACCTGGTACGACGTAATCCACATCCTGTTTCAGATTGTTTGCATGGAAGCCTGTTAAGCCCCAAAGGGCCCTTTGTACCTATGTACCGATATAGCAGAATGTAGGGTTTCCATTTTAGGGATTACTATTATGACTTAGGGAAGTATCCCCCGTAACAGTACATAGGACCCTTTGGGAGCTGTTTGTTGAGAGTCTAAGCCTAAACCCCGATGCCTGTGGCCTAAGGGTTCCAAGCACCCAATCACGATTGTATACCCTAATTGCAGAATACCAGCATAATTACATTGCTACTAATTAGCCTAAACCGCTTCAGACCAAAGTATTAGGGTATTAGGTTCTTTGGACCCTTAGGGAAGGACCCCGAAGCATTTGAGAGGCCCGGCGTCCGTAAGTCGTTCTGTGCGCATGCTGCGGCTTCTGCGTCTGGTACGCGTAATGCGTGCGATCAAGCTTCGACGTGGGTTCACGGCAATGCAGGACCGTTAAGGGTGAACGTAGCACCTTAGATACGGAGTACTTGGAGGGGCAGGCGACTTAGTAAGTAGGTTATAACTGGGGTAACTCCATTCAGGGTACTTATAACTCTGCTTATAAGCTACTTACTAAGTCCCCTGCCCCTCCAAGTAGTCTACACAACATCCCCAAACCCTGTGCGAATTGCCAGGGCCGCTATACTGGGAGGTTCGAGTTCCGGTTTCAGGCCGCATCTTCGGGTCGTTGGGGACGTCCTGAAATTATGGGAGTTTCCGAAAACTAGGGGTACCTTATTTGGGGCTCCTTAATAAAGATCCTACTATTTAGGGCACTATATGAGGTCGGGTCCCCTATTTGGGGAAACTCCCATGTCGATATCACCCCCGGAAGCTGCTGCCAAGAGCTTTCAACACGCAAGCTAAGCTTGTGGGATAATGTCGAGTCCTGGCTAAACAAAAACCGTCCCATTTTGCATTTTCGGGAATATAGTGGATCCGAATATGACAGCTCATGAAAAAGGAGGGTTTATGAATCACGAGTCTATGGTCGTATGCATAACTGCGTAACATGCGGGTTGAGAGTCCTCAACCCTGCTTGGAAGGGCAGGGGACGTAGTAAGTAGGTTATAAGTAGAGTTATAAGTATCCTAAATGGAGTTACCCCAATCATAACCCAACTTATAACCTACTTACTAAGTCCCCTGCCCCTCCAAGTAAGGCCTAAACCCTATAAACCCCATAGATCCCGTTAATGAACCCTAGAGATCCCTTTAAGGAGCCCTTTAAGAACCCTTACTAAGTAGGCCGGATCAGGTTCTGGGGGCAGGCTGTCAGTGGCTTCCTGCCCACAACCCTGGGTGTGGATTACCATACTTGAATACTTTAGGGTTTAGGGTTTAGGGTTTTTTGGTACCTGTTCCTCAAAGGAACCATTATGAAATGAAAGTCTATACTTTTTTCTCCCTGGCTACTTCAAAGTCCAGTAACACATCGTGCGGGTTAGGGCTCGGAATAGTTGATAGCAACATCCTCTCGTAATCCCTGGTATAGTTATAGCACACTTTACCCCAAACCTCTCTTGTCCCTCGGCAGTTCCATATCAGGTTGTTATCTTCAAAGCCCTGCCATTATATTATAATACCTTATATGCTATATGAATCCTAAACCCTCTTAGGGTTCATGTCGTCTTTAAGGCTAGCTTCTGCCTTTCTCCCTTTTTTCCTGAGTCGCAGGATGTCATCCATTCCCAGAGTGCCAGCTTGTACCTGAACTTTATGGTGAGTATTGGTCAGCTTCTGATGCTGGTCCACTGGGTAGCTTGTGGCTGGTTTGGGGTGACGTGGCTACACGCCGAGAACTGGGTGGCGTCCAGCGACTTGCGTCACCGGGATTCGTTTTTCCAGTACCTGACGTGTGTTCTGTGGGCCTTCTGTCAACTGGGTGTGGGCGAAAGCCCTTGGCAGCCGATCAACACCACCGAAATGATGCTGAACAGTGTCATCGCCTTCACCGCCCTCATCACTGCTGCCATGCTCATCAGCACCATGGGTGGCCTCATCGCAGGGCTCCGCAAGCTTCACGAGGACGAGCTGCTGGGCCTCAGAGTACCATACATTGGGGACCTGTTACTGAAAGGGAACCATTATGCAATAAAAGTCTATACTTTTTTCCCTGGTTACTTTAAAGCCCAGGCTGACACAATTTAGGCTCCTGCGTCGGTACTTGCAGAAGCACGACATTCCTCTGGATCTTGGCCATCGGGTGACTCAATTCTTGGAGCATCAGTACACGGAGAGGCAGCATGCCAGGTCATCGCAGATGCAGGTGCCTTGTCTGAGAGGGTTCGTAGTTCGATTGCGAGCTTTCATGACGGTGATTGTACCCTAAACCCTAAACCCTTAAACCCTAAACCCTAAACCCGGCTCCAGAGTACTAGATGAGGCCTTGCGAGTGGGCTGGTAGGGCAGCACCCAGTTCCCGCAAGAGTTTCTAACATGATCAACGGCCCGGCAGCGCAAAACTTTCGGCCCGCGGGGGCATTTTGTAGGATTTTGGGGCTACAGCTAAGAATCCTAAACCTTAGATCTTCAACCGCAAATCCCTCATTTCATAGGCCTTCTATTAATCAGAAGTTCTAAGTCTTACATCCACACCCCGAAATCCCCGACATTGAGTCCCAGCCCTTGGAACACAGAAATTCCAGAATTCCGAAACCGTTAAAGTTTCCGAAGCCCCGACATGTTAGTTATATTCCCTATATGACCAAAAAGGTTAACCTGTAGTTCCCCATGATACCAGACAAGTAGGACTGAATTCGAACCCGAAACCCTAAACCCTAAACCAAGACCCTAAACCCCGAAACCCTTTACAGCCTATATAGGTTTAGTATTTAATCCATCGGGCTGCAGGTGCCTCTCCTCGACCTCCTCTCGCGGCCGATGCTTCCAGACTATACCCTAAGATCCGGTTGATGATATAAATCCGGCATACCCTAGGGATCAAAATTGCCCAAAAGCCTTCTATAGTAGGGTCTTTGGGCCCAAAAGCCTCAATATGTGAGTCCTTAAGGGCCTTAGGGATAATCTTAATGACGCTAGACTATGGGAGTTGTGGTATTTTCCTTACTATGGGAAACGCAGGGTTTATATCATCAACCACCCCAATCACCTACGGCATACCTGTAGGAACAAATGGCCCTGAAACGTGGGGGGGCCCTTAACTCTTACACTACGAATCCCTGTATATGGGAGTTTCCGAAAACAGGGGACCCTAATATAGTACCCCAAACAGTAGGATCCTTATTACGAAGGACCCCCAAATAAGATACCCCCTAATTTTCGGAAACTCCCTGTATATGAGCCATCAACCGTTCTAGGGTTTATTTCGTCCTTAAAGAAGTGTCGTTGTTGTCGCGGGCCAGAGGGTGCTGGTGATATGCCTCCTCCCTCTTTTTCAGGACTGTACGGAATAGGGTTTAGGCTTTGGAGCGTTAGGGTCAGGGGTTCAGGGCGTAGGGTGTTTGGGGTTTTGTAAAGATCAAAATTCGATTTAGAGCTCCCTAAACCCTGAACCCTAAGCCTCAAGTGTATAGTGCCCAGTTACCTAGACATGGTTGGTCCCCAGCCCCTTCCCCTTCCATTCAGTGGTCCCCTAGAGTTGGTTGAAACGCGGTACATGTGGCCTAGTTGCAGAGGGGGTATGAAAACCCCTGTATAATCCCAGTATACCCCAAAAGTTAGCCTGTAGTTCATCCAAGGACAGGCAGGCCATATGGTTATTATGCCACCACCGCACCATGTATGCCTGAATACTCCCCCTCCCCCTACGGAGCATGTTGGTTTCCCCCCCCTGTCCTCCCCTCCTGTAATAAGGGGTTTAGAGGCTTCGCACCGTAGGCTTATGTCTTGGATACAACCCTACCGATAAGCTCCATTGTAGTTCCGTTTTGGGATTACCTTATAGGATCCCAAATATGAACCATAGAAAAGGAACTACAATGGAGCCTGAAGGGAAACCCTAAGCCCTAAAGTTAGCTTAGGTGTTGACTCCCTGCCCTGAGCTGTGGACTCCCAAGACCCTAAACCCTAAACCATGACCCTAAACCCTAAACCCCATAGATCCCTTTCAAGGAGCCCTATAGATCCCTTTAAGGAGCCCTTTAAGAACCCAAACCAGAGGTTGCAAGAGCTCCATTTTGAACAGCATCGTCTGGCCCTCTGCAAAATCGGTGCGATCAAGGCCGGAAGCCTTTGCGATCCCTACTTAGAGGATCATGGGACTTAGTAAGTAGGTCATAATTGGCATTCTAAGTCCCCTAAGTGGGGTTATCCTAATCATAACCCTACTTAGAAACTTACTTACTAAGTCCCATGAGCCTTCAGGTACCCCAAACCCTGCACCATGGCATGAGGAAGTAGACTTAGTAGGGTTAGCACATGGGTTCAGGGTTTAGGGTTAGGGTTTAGGGTTTAGGTAGGTCATGTCGATTCGATATTGGATGCCTTAGGTAAATCTGATTCCTTGAAGTGCGAACCCCAAACCAGCAAGGGCGCACTTACCCAAAGGCTCCATGTACCTTTATAGTAGCTACTTAGGCCTTAAAGGGGTCCCTAGAGAGGTACTTTCAGGCCTAAGTATATACTATATGGGTACATGGAGCCTTAGGGTTAGAACAGGTACTCGCGTCTGCTTTACTGGTGTGCAGGAGTTTGGGGCTCCCTCGGCACAACGTTGCTGAGTGTACATGTTGTAGGTTGGGGATACTAGTGCTTGGAGGGTCGGGGGACTTAGTAACTGGTTATTTTAGGGACTTATAAGTACCATAACCCCAATTAGGGTGCCTTTTAGGGTACTTATAAGTCTACTTGCTACCTACTTACTAAGTCCCCCGACCCTCCAAGTAGGAAAAGCGTTATGTCGATCATATCATAGTGCAGCCGCGCAAATCGGAGGGGTCTAGGGACAAGCGTCGCCAATTCGTCGACATGGCACGGACTTGTATTGAACAGGTCGAGCCGTTATCATTTATGTATATCGGTATATTATGCATACATGTTTGCGTGTTCTAGTTCCGATCCTAATTATTTCGAATCACTCTACGTATCAGAAGGTTTAACACTCGAAGAAGAAGGAACCTTCGACCTAGGCTAAACGAAGCACTCAGAGTCGCAAAGTCTGCTTGCACCCCATCTGAAATCCGAAGAATATAATATATATATATATACACATATATATATATATACATATATGTATATATATATATATATATATGTATGTGTATATATATATATATTGTGTTTTTGACCATTCGAAAAAAGGATGATACAAGATACACGAACCCCTAAACCCTGTAAACTTTGAATCCAAGCCTAAGAACCCCCCCGGGGGCCTCACCCTTGAAGCCTAAAGCTTGAACCAGGGGCCTGAACTATTATTGCTAGACCACAGTAGGGCTCTTAAAGGGCTCCTTAAAGGGATCTATAGGGCTCCTTAAAGGGATCTATAGGGTTCCTTAAAGGGATCTATAGGGTTCCTTAAAGGGATTTATGGGGTTTAGGTGCACCCTAAGGGTCCATGTACTCATTTTGTATATACATTGGCCTTAAAGTACTCCCTATATAGGTACATTGGGCCGAAAGTATATGCTATTTGGGTACATGGACCCTTAGGGGTACCATAAGGGTCCAAATGACCCCATGCATGGGTTGAGGATAGTAGTTGCGTAGGTCAGTAGTTGGGGGGCGTATGAGTATACGATAGCTAGGGACTTGGACCCCTAGGGGTATGGCATACCCCAAACCTATTTCTGAGTATAGTAAACCCTACACCCTAAACTCCAACGCTTGAACCCGAACCAACCCTAAACCCCCAAGGGTCTAAGATCCCGATTTCTAGATAAAACCCTAAACCCTAAACCCTAAACCCCCAAACCCCTAAACCCCTAAACCCTAAACCCCTCAGGCCTTGCTGACGCAGGACGATGCAGCTTGTCAGCTTTGAGGTTCAGGGTTTACTTCGTCGGTTTAGGGTTCTAGGTGCTCGTTTTGGGGTTTGGGGTTTAGAGTTTCTGTAATTGTTTGTGATTTTGAGTTTGATGTTTGTCCTTAAACAGGTACTTGTAGGTTCGTTGGGGTATAGTTAGGGGGGCTTATCACGGATTTGAGGCTTGTGGTTTGTGGGTGCGGCGGAGCGTTTGGGTTTGTGGTTCGGGAGGTTGGGATTTAGTTTGGGCTTTGGGTCAACACGGAAATTACCTACAGTCTCCATTGTCGTTCCTTTTTTCGGTTAACCAGTTTTATGGTTAGGATCCTATAATATTGTTTTTGGTTACCAGAGAAAGGAGCTACAATGGAGACTATAGGTAGGGTTGATGACCGTTCTTCTTCAATAACCAGGACCAAGAAAGTTCAAACTTTCAAAGATACACCGGATGTATAGGGCCAAAAAAATTCAAATTCTCCCATTGGCTATCTAGTTTGGGTTTGGGGTAGTCGCAGACCTGATCTCCGAACAGCTTTACCTTCCAGGGCTTGGAATTCAGGGGGCTGTCTATCATGACCCTCAGGGTCTTTAATTCGTAGGACTTGCTATTATGCCCAGGCCTTCCAAAATCCCTTAATTGAGGAATATACCATAAATTGCTGTAGGATCCGCGATATGAGTTAAGGTATATTCCTTAATTAAGGGATTTTGGTGTCTGGGTGGTTTGGGTCAGCACGTATCCCCCATACAGGTACTTAGGACCGTTTGGGTGGCTGTAACAGAGGGCTTGTCCCGCCCCCCAGCCCCCACCTCGCGCCTCACCCCAAGCGACTCGTCAACCATAGAGACGTTTCAAATCCAAGCCAGCCCTCAACGCAGAAATAAAAAATCACCCTTAATTCAGGAATGTACCTTAGGCCATATACATTATTCAGGCCACTATAATTTAAGGAATATTCCTTGGTTAGAGATATTGGGATCTCTGAGAAGCCTGGACACTGAGGCCTGTTTGTCATCATAGCTTGGGTACGGCCCCCACACTCAGTAACAGTTGGATAACCCAAAGGGTCCATGTACCCATATAGCATATACTTTGGGCCCAATGTACCTAGAAAGGGAGTACTTTAAGGCCAATGTATAGACTATACGAGTACATGGACCCTCAGGGTAATATTCATAATATAGAGATAGAAGGACCTTAGTAGTAGCCCCAAAAAGACTGTTACTGTATGGGGGCCGTGCCCAAATCATAGAGCCTGAACGGCCCTGAACCCTCTGTCTTTTATAGACCCTGTCTTTGACGATCCTCCCATTGCCGTATGTGTTGGGTGTCTTTCGCTACGGTTTAGGGCTTAGGGACATACGCTATTAGCGGTTGAGTATCCCTAAGGGTCCATGTTCTCATATAGTATATACATTGGCCTTAAAGTACTCCCTATATAGGTACATTGGGCCCAAAGTATATGCTATTTGGGTACATGGACCCTTAGGGGTACCATAAGGGTCCAAATGACCCATGCATGGGTTGAGGATAGTAGTTGCGTAGGTCAGTAGTTGGGGGGCGTATGAGTATACGATAGCTAGGGACTTGGACCCCTAGGGGTATGGCATACCCCAAACCTATTTCTGAGTATAGTAAACCCTACACCCTAAACTCCAACGCTTGAACCCGAACCCTTAGGGTAAATAGTTTCCGGTGGATCCTTATCATAATCGTAGTATACTGGGCCCCAAAACCCTACTCTAAGTATTACGGCCCCTATAGTATACGGTACATGGACCCTTAGGGTATGGAAGCCCTGTACAATTGCCAAAACCATTCCTTCGGGCTCCTGGTTGCACTATGCTGTACTTGAAGGCTCATGGGACTTAGTAAGTAGGGTTATAAGTAGGTTATAATAAGGATAACCCTACTTAGGGGACTTATAACCCCAATTATAACCTACTTACTAAGTCCCATGATCCTCTAAGTAGTATACCCCAATGCCCTCAGCTCCAAAGGCCCCAACCTAAACCCTAGACCCTATATTGCGTGCCGTTCAAGGGTCCTAGTTACTTACTGTTATGGGGGATACCTCCCCAAATCATAATAGTATTTCTTGATATAGAAACTCTACGTTTCGTGTACTATTTGGGCACATGGACTCTTAGGGTCTGTTAGGGTCCGGGACTTTCCGAGGTGCATTGTCATCACGCGCTCCACAGGCGACGCGGGCTTGTTTTGCAGCCTTTCGGGTCTCAGGGGCTCCTCAGAATTCTAGAAGGGTTTAGGGTTCCTGTCGGAGTTCTAGAAGGGTTTAGGGTCCCTAGACCCTAAAAGCCTATACAGGGGCCAGGATAATTAGCAAGATGATTCCTGATGCTCTCCTACTGATATGGTGCCATAATGTACGCCAAAGCCACATTCGAATGATTAAGGCCCGTACAATAGGGTAAAGGGTTCAGAACCCAAAGTCGTAGGTTTCGATAGGGAAGGTCAGGTTTGGAGGGTAAAATTTGAGGTTTAGAACTTACGGTCGCAATGGCTGGCTGAATAGGGTTTGACCTAGGGTTTGACCTGGACTCTCGAATGTACTTGTTAGGTAACTTCTATCATGGTTAAGATCTAACAGGAAGAATGCGGAAACCAAACCACAAGCATTACATGATGGGGTCTAGATATTAATTTGGTCTGTGCCGGAGTTGCCCCTTTGCTTTTGCAGGATGGCCCATGACAGCCTGTATCCTTCCGTGGCGGCGAAGGGGGACGTCATCTTCGTCGGGGGCAACATCGCAACCACCTCGTATCTGAAGATGAACGGCCACCTCAGCTACACGAAGGAAGTTCTTAACCCTGCTCCGAATACCCGAATCCTTGAAGAACTTCTTGCATCAATGAACCATGAAGGGGCATATACATGACATACATGTCAACGACACCCTTAGCCCGGAACCCTGCTTTTGCTGGAGGATCTCCTGAAAGTAGGACAAAGCCACATAATGCTGCCAAGCCGCAAAGAGGACTACATACCAGCCACCTTGGAAACTTCATGCTCTTGAGAGTCCTTCGATTCTCCATGCCAGCCTTGAGCCCTCGGCCCTTTCGTAGTGTGATGTAGTGCGGTGCAACTCCATGAAATGCAAAGCACGTAGGGTGCATGTAGAACCCCAGGCCGCCAAGAACCCCACCACAGGTATCCACACGGTTTAGGGTTTAGGGTTTTCGGCCCCACCGCCGAAAGGACGGCGAGTTCCAGTTTATTGATGACACTCGCTGGGTTGCAGAGATATGCCTCTGGGCTCCTTGGCTTTAGGGCTGAATGTCTTTCTTGATGACCGTAGGGGATCTTTGAGGATGTTTGGGGTGTTCACGGTCGAGGGGTGTAGAATCTCCTTGAAGGCACATGTAGATCCCTTTAAAGGAGCCCTAAGCCAATAAACCGTATAGATCCCTGTTTTGGTCTGAGGCACCTTGGGTGCACCTGGGCGTCCTCGAGGCACAGGCTACCTCGGAAATGTTGAGCCTTGACGCTCCCAAGTTTTGCCGCCAGGCTTACTGAGTAGTACCCTTTTTGAAAGGGGTCCTTGTAAGGGATCCTTGGAGTGTTCCAGTTTTAGGGGATCTATACTTAAAGGATCATGAAACTTAGTAACTAGGGTTATAATTAGGGTAACTATACTTATAACCCCAAGTAAGGTACTTATAACCGTACTAACTAAGTCCCATGATCCTCCAAGTAGGGGTTTAGGGTCGATTAGGTTCCTGAGTAGTACCGTTGTTGAAACGGTTCCTTGTAAGGGCTCTATAAGGGATCCTTAAAATGTTCCAGTTGTAGAGGTTTAGGGTCTATTAGGTTCCGTTTACCCTCTTCATGTTAGGGCCCTCTTATGAAGACTGAATAGTAGAAACAGGGTACCCTTGTCATAAAGGGGCTGCTCAGAAACCTAGGCCTGATTTTGGCAGAGAGATCCGACACGCATCATGCTGCCAGCAGCTACGCGCGGAGATTTGTCGCCGTGCCTTGCCACATTACCATGATGATTAAGCTCAGTTCTGCTATACTTCGGCTGCGCAAATTCTACAAACCCCGAAACTTAATCACAAAACGTTGCCGCGGGGATCACGACGATGGCTTCTTGCGATAACTGCCGGTATTAATGTCCCTCAGATCCCAAGCCCTCTATCATTTAACGGGTACTCCTTGAATAAACAGCCTTCCAACAACCTTTCATTTAAGGTACGGTTGATGATATAAATCCTGCATCACCCATAATAAGGAATATACCATACTTCCCATAGTCTAGGCTCCTTAAGGTAATGCAGGATTTATATCATCAACCGTATGTTCCGGAATTACTCAGCATTGGCGCCACTGGGATGATTGTCAATGCTCCTAGGGAATGCCATGAGGTTTCCACGATAAGTATCCCAAGGCCCCAAGGGTCCATATACCCAAACAGTATAGTATACTCTGGCCATACGGTACTCACCATAATATAGGTACTTGGGGCCAAAGCGTATACTATTCGGGTACATGGGCCCTTCCTAGAGACTCCAAAACCCCTTAATTAAGGAATATGCCTTATCTCATATTAGGGATCCGACTACAACTTAAGGTATATTTGTGAATTAAGGAGTTTTGGAGTTTCTGGAGGATCGAAGCTTGTGTAATTGCCCTGAGGCCGATTCCCTAAGCCGTACGTCCACTGTCTCAGGTGGTGCAGAGGCAATCCAGGAAGAAAAGCGCTTTGAGCGATGTCTTCGTAGACAAGGACGGCGAGCTAGAGTCTCTGGAGGATTCTCGGCGGATTTTACAGATTTTGCGGCTGTGGAGGTTTAAGGGGTGCCGGTTTAGGGCTGTACTGGTGGCAGATTGCAACTTCACCACACCGTTTCATCCAGAGAGCTTCACGACAAGAAAGAACTATGCCCTGGATGCATAGGTATGTCTGTCCAGTTCCGTCAATATGCAGTATGTATGTACACTCGTGGATAGAACATGATGTCCTGTATATGCACAGCGCACACGCACACAATACACACACGTACATATAACTGCATTAACGCATGTGTATATATACACACATGTGTATATTCATATATGTACATACACACAAGCACATCATGCATACATGTATATATACACAACCTATGATTATAGCCCATAGCCCAATGTGCGTATATATATAATATATTTATATTTATATTTATATTTATATGTATACATACATACATACATACATACATACATTACTTTGTTTGTGTATGTGTGTATGTATTTGTTCATGTATGTGTGGATGTGTATGTCTGCATATACGCTCATGCACACATATGCGTAGCATACATGTGTGTGTGTGTGGGAAGGTACGGATGTGACACGTTCTTTAGGTGGCATACATAAAGAGATGCAACTTATCTATCCATGAGTATGTATTTTTCTGCCACGGCCGCATGACTGTGGCAGGCATGCGACAGTGCTGTTTCGACATCCATTAGCCTTATTAAGAGGCATTAGGCTTATTAAGAGGTGTGAGGTCCGAGAGGTGGACGGAGCTTTGCCACATGTTCTCTGTAAGTTGATTGCTGCAAAACGACTTACAAAGGCCAGTCTAGTCGTTGTCGCAGGCTCCAAAATCGGTTCGAAGCTTCCTAGCAAGTAACATACGGATCTGAACACCTAGTAATAGTATCCCCTCGTATATTCCCTACGTAACTTCCTGCATGTGCCCCTACAAGCATGTTCTGGACCTTCAGCCCCTGTTAAATCCAAACCCTGCATTTATTCTTAGTAAGGAATGCATGAGAATCATCAACCGAAGTACTCAGGCAGTAGAGTTTTAAGTATGAGTGGTTTTTGCTACCCAAAACAGTGTTGTTTCGGCGCGCGGTTCCCTACTCCTTCCTTGAAGGGATGCTCTGCGCTTGGTAGACTAGAAGGGTTCTGATGCAAGCTCGTGTCCGAGATGAACATTTCAACAGGTTTACAGTTTTCCGGTTTAGGGTAATTATAAGGTTTGCAGGGCGCGGGATTTAAGACGCACCTTGGTTTTAAGCAAAACACAGAGACCTTTGGTGTTACACAGCGATTTGTTAATCGACATCGGATGTTTGCCATAAGATCATGTGGTAAGGCTGAAATACGTAGGCCCCGCACCCGGCATAGGTGTGTTTGGTAAGTCTTCAGTGCCGTGTCATTGGTCAGTTGTTTGGGTTTCAGGGCTTAGAGTTTGAGAAATGTGCACAGCACCCAGGGGCTTCTTAAATATTCGGCCGTATTTAAGAGCCGAAGAATAGGTAATTCGATAGGATTGCAATAAAGAAGCAATAGGAAGGCTTTGTCAGAGCAGAAGTGAAACAAATTGTCGGTTGATGTAGCAACCATCGCATCGATGATGTAGTCTGGCTCCTGATTCGGGTATTGAATGTGTGTGTTGCAGTAAAATCCGCACGTTTGTAGGTATCGGAACTATACAAGTGCTTGCCGGTGTTTGGACGTGTGTGCGTGTGTGTGTGTGTGTGTGCGTGTGTGTTTGTGTGTGTGTGTGTGAGTGTGTGTGTGAGTGTGTGTGAGAGTGTGTGTGTGTGTGTGTGTGTGTGTGCGTGTGTCTGTGTTTATTAGTGTGCCCACGCAGGCACAGATGCGCAAGAGAGAGGGAGAGAGAGAGAGAGAGAGAGAGAGAGACAGACAGACAGACAGACAGACAGACAGACAGACAGACAGACAGACAGACAGACAGACAGACAGACAGACTGCGAACTATGTACACATATATATGTATATTCATATACATATGTGTGTGTATATATATATATGTACATATGGAGCTAGAGAGAGATAAAGATATATTTCTCACACCAAAACAGGGGTTTAGAGAGAACCATCCACACAAGCGCACACATGTTGCCGCCTTGTCGTCTTTCGTTGCATCTGTGCCAGGGTCGTCACGCAGCATACGCACATAACTAAACCCTAAACCCTATCCCGTGTGACTTCAACCCTGAACCCTACTTGGAGGGGCGGGGGACTTAGTAAGGGTTCTTGAAGGGCTCCTTACAGGGATCTATACGGTTCCTTAAAGGGATCTATGGGGTTTAGGGTTTAGGGTCTACTTGGAGGGGTAGTAGGTATATTTCGGGTAACTCCATTTAGGGCACTCATAATAGGTCCCCTGCCCCTCCAAGTAGGAACCAGATCACGAAAACCTGGGCCTATAACTCCAAAATTGTGGGGTTCACATAAGGAACCCTAGCAAAGGCCCAAGGCCCAAGGTTTGTTAAATCAGATTCCTACATTACACCCCAAATTGTCGGGGCTCTCCCATGGCAGATGAGGAAGAACCGGCTTTCGACATGCTGCTACCGGCACCCCTCAAACGACTGCTCAACCAGAATCGCAACTCGGCTGGTCATATGCCAGGTCTCCCAGTCGCCCTTTTTCGCTTGTTGTGGTCTTAGATTCCTTCTGAAACTACATACTCCATACCATCCCATACCAGGAAGAGAGAGAGAGCGAGAGAGAGAGAGAGAGAGAGAGACCTTTTCATTGTTAGGTTGCTGGGGATCCTCATTTAATTACAAGACCTATATATGTCGAAAGCCCCCACACTGAACCCTTAAATCATCCTAAATCCCACACCCTGACATACACACACACACACACAACACACCCACACACATGTTTACGACATGGATTGACAGATAGATGAACAGATAGTTAGGTATACACAAGGCAGACATGCGTACGTACATACGTTCATGCAGACTTACATACAGAAGAACTACATCAGACCCTGAACATCCAAGCCAGAAACTCTCAAGCCTCGTTGCCATCAAGCCGAAACCAGAGCACTACGGTTGATGATATAAATCCTGCATTACCTTAGGGACCCTAAACAATTGACAGTTATGGTATATTCCTTGTTATGGGCAATGCAGGATTTGTATCATCAATCGTATGAAGTCGCAAGTCCTGAAAACCTGCGGCTACCAAGCGGAAAGGCAGCCCAAGGATCCAATTGGTTTAGGTTGGGGGTACTTGGAAACAGCCCTAAGGGTCCATGTACTCATATAATATATACATTGGCCTTAAAGTGCTCCCTATATAGGTACACTGGGCTCAAGTATATGCTATATGGGGTACATGGATCCTCAGAGCAGTCGTTGATTCTGGGGTACTATAACCCTTAAGAAGCAGCTGCTTTTTGCAAGGTAGAAAGTTCGGTACAGTTGAGTTGGGTTCGAGGGCTCAAGGTCGGGCATAGGCCTTGAGGGATTAAAGCTTAGGATGTACAGGTGGGAGTTTCCGAAAATTTAAGGGTTCCTTGTTTCGGGCTCCACATAAAAAGGATCCTGCTATTTAGGGTACTATAGATTAGGGTCCCCTGTTTTCGGAAATCCCCCAGGTTTAAGGGCATTGGCTTTGGGGTTTAACGTTTGGGATTTCGGTTTGCGAATAAACTCAGTCACTGCAAGCAGACTACCTACTGCTGGCTAGCACCAACGTAGGTGAGGCACTCCTTAGATGATAATATTAGGACTGTAGAAAGACGACCGTCCGAA